TATGATCTCCATGTATGAATAACATAAGGGGGATATGTTTCACCATGTATAATACATAAAGGGGGGATATGATCACCATGTATAATACATAAGGGGGAATATGATCGTCCATGCTATTAATACATTAAGGGGGATATGCCTCACCATGTATAATACACTAAGGGGGGATATGATCCACCATGTAATAATACATAAAGGGGGATAATGAACTCCATGTCTAATACATAAGGGGGGCTATGAATCACCATGTATAATACAATGAAGGGGGGATATAATCTCCATGTTATAATACATAAGGGGGATCTGATTCACCATGTATAATTACATAAAGGGGGATAATGAATCACCATGTATAATACATAAGGGGGGGATTATGCTCACCATGTATAAATACATAAGCGGGTGGGTATATGATCTCCGTGTATAATTACATTAAGGGTGCAGTTCTGATCTCACATGTATAAATACCATAAGGGGGGATATGAACTCCATGTATAGAATTACATATCAGTGGTTCATATAGTGAACTCGGTGGTAGGAGCTATTTCCCCTGAGGTTCCATCACAGTAGGATTAGGGGGCACTCTATAACGTCTGGAGGAAAAAGCAATGTCATCTCTCAAACACGGAAAGGTTTCTTCAACTGTGAGAAGCTGTTGAAATGTGGAATAGACCTCCTCAAAGCGTTGGTTCTGGCCGAGCTCATTAGATTGCTTTCAAAAAAGTCCAGATTATCTTTCTATGGGATACACAGAATAGATAAGTGGATCTAACATTTCTAGGTAAAGTTTGATCCAGGGAATATCCGAAATGCCTCTCGGGCGACGCAGGAAGCGCAATATTTTTCCCAGAAGAGAAGCAAAATTGATCATGGCTTTTGCGGGTTTTTTGCTTTTTTTCTTCCTTACTGATCAACTGTGAGAGTTATAGGATTCATTAACTTCTTTGTTTATTGGTTGGTCTTGGATGGTCTTTGGATGGACTTTTGTCTTGTTTTTTTTCAGCCAGGACTAACTCTATACTAAACTGTCTACTGAACAATGCGTAGTCAGCCAGATCTGATGTCAGTATTCTCAGTCAGAGTCTGAGCCAAGGAGCTGAAGCTCTATTTAATCAAGCTCAGTAAGTCAAGTCAAGCCAGCAAGTTCCTAACAATGTCCGACCTGGGGCTTGGAAGCACAAGGAGCTCTTGGTGATGTGCCCCCTGGGGGTGGAATTCCATTGGGTGCCAGAAAAGACATTATATGGGTTGCAATACACCATGGTTGTTTCTTCATTGGCACAAGGTCATGTCTCTTTATGCTTTTCTTGCGCTGAGCTTTTTTGGCCAACCAGGACCATTTTTTATATCAAGTGAAATACCCGCTGTGTATTGCATTATGTTTTGTTCTGTCCGTATTTATTCATGAGCACATTACACTGCACTTTTTTTGTTTTGCACAGAGATGAAGAGTAAGGTTACGGGGGGCTTGCCTGATATCTGGGAAGAGGTATTGTGGCCTTTTGGTCTTTTTCCTCTCCCCAATGTGGAGGGGTCTCTCTTTGGGAGAGCTGCTTATCACTTACTTGGTGGACTGGCTTCTTCTGGTCCCTAAGTGTGGGGTACACCATAGGCATACCTTGCCTCTGTCAGGAGTCTTGCGCCCCAGAGAGGGCTCAGAGTCTAGAGGGTCCATCATCTTTGGAGGTTTGGCCATTTCTGTACATCTGTGCACTTTTTTTGTTCACAGAGGTGTAACAAAGCACCACACTGCAGAGCTCCACAAAAAGAGAAACAAATTGTCAACTAGGAGTCCCAATTGGCATGCTTAGAACCAGAAGAAAGCTGGTGTAGATAACACTCTTGTGTTGACAATAAGTTAGGGCTCTAAGTTGGGACAATTATGTTCCAGTTGGTCTTTAAGGTTGGCCCTAAACAAGCTATGTTCATTCACCTTCCCTGTCCTCACCCTGCGCTACTGCTGCAAAATACACGTTGGTAGGACAGGACTAGGCTCTCACTTATTACATTCTGGTGGCCTGTTGTCTCTCTCATGTCTCTAATGACTTGCTTACTTTTCTGGTTGGCAGGCTGGTAAAAAACATATGCTCAAGTCTTGTTTTGATGGCTCCGTCCCCCCCCTTGAGCTGCAAGGCAGCAAACGGGTGTACACACATGGAAGCAATTAAACCCGTTACCCGCTGAGCATGACCCATTCAAATTAAAGGGGCCATGGCCCAACCTAGCAATGCAGTAGGTGCAGCACGGTGGTGTGGGCTTTTAGGGCTTAAAACAGGCAGTGAGGAAGCTACATAATACCTCCTCATCACCTGTGAAACGCCCTCTGAAAAGCGATCTCTGACACATATACTCAGATATAGCATTAACCTGTGTTCAGGGCACATTTCACTTAATGTTACATTTCCTTTTGCATAAAAAATGGGCCTATAACGTTTTTGAAGCATTCAGAAGCGTTGCCATAGATGGAAGTGGCTGGCTGTGGCAAAGCCTTGACGACGGGACATACCCTAAAAGTCTTGATGTGATGCAGATGTATTCTGTACTACCTGACAGCATTGTTTAAATGACCTACCACAGTGGTTGTCAACTTACACTTTATTGCCAAAAATATTGTGCCAGCCCTCCAAATCATGTGATTCAGGTGTTCCCCAATCCCCTCCATGGCCACAGGTGTATAAAATCAAGCCCCTAGGCATGCAGACTGCTTCTACAAACAATTTATGAAAGAATGGGTCGCTGTCAGGAGCTCAGAGAATTCAAGCGTGGTCCCGTGATAGGTGGCCACTTGTGCAATAAGTGCCCCCTCCCCTGACTTCTCCCTCACGATCAATAACACAACCATCAGTCCCTCCCTCCTGCCAGGGTACTAGGTGTAATCCTGGACTCCCATCTGTCCTTTCAGTCCCAAATCCAATCACTGTCCAAACCTTGTAGACTTCACCTCCGCAACATCTCCAAGATAAGCCCGTTCCTAACCTCGGACACCACTAAGCAACTTATTCACTACCTTGTTATATCTCGCCTTGACTGTTGTAACTCCCTCCTCATTGGCCGACCTCATCGCAGGCTATCCCCTCTTCAGTCTATCATGAATGCTGCTGCCAGACTCATCCACCTTACTAACCACCAAGTGTCCTCCACCCCTCTCTGCCAATCCCTCCACTGGTCTCCACTCAGTGTCCTCCACCCCTCTCTGTGCCAATCCCTACACTGTCCTCCACTCGGTGTCCCTCCACCCCTCTCTGCCAACCCTCCACTGGTCTCCACTTCGTGTCCTCCACCCCTCTCTGCCGATCCCTCCACTGGCCTCCACTCGGTGTCCTCCACCCCTCTTTGCCGATCCCCTCCACTGGCCTCCACTCGGTGTCCTCCACCCCTCTCTGCCGATCCCTCCACTGGCCTCCACTCGGTGTCCTCCACCCCTCTCTGCCGATCCTCCACTGGCCTCCATTCTGTGTCCTCCATCCCTCTCTGCCGATCCCTCCATTGGCCTCCAATCGGTGTCCTCCACCCCCTCTCTGCCGATCCCTCCACTGGCCTCCACTCGGTGTCCTCCACCCCTCTCTGCCGATCCCTCCACTGGCCTCCACTCTGTGTCCTCCACCCCTCTCTGCCGATCCCTCCACTGGCCTCTACTCGGTGTCCTCCACCCCTATCTGCCGATCCCTCCACTGGCCTCCACTCGGTGTCCTCCACCCCTCTCTGCCGATCCCTCCACTGGCCTCCACTCGGTGTCCTCCACCCCTCTCTGCCGATCCCCATCCACTGGTCTCCACTCGGTGTCCTCCACCCCTCTCTGCCGATCCCTCCACTGGTTTCCACTCGGTGTCCTCCACCCCTCTCTGCCGATCCCTCCACTGGTCTCCACTCGGTGTCCTCCACCCCTCTCTGCCGATCCCTCCACTGGTCTCCACTCGGTGTCCTCCACCCCTCTCTGCCGATCCCTCCACTGGTCTCCACTCAGTGTCCTCCATCCCTCTCTGCCACCAACTCCCTCCACTGGTCTCCACTCAGTGTCCGCCATCCCTCTCTGCCAATCCCTCCACTGGTCTCCACTCAGTGTCCTCCACCCTCTCTTGCCAATTTCTCCACTGACCTCCATGCAGTGTCCTCCACCCCTCTCTGCCAATCCCTCCACTCGGTGTCCCTCCACCCCTCTCTGCCAATCCCTCCACTGGCCTCCACTCAGTGTCCTCCACCCCTCTCTGCCAATCCCTCACTGGTCTCCACTCAGTGTCCTCCACCCCTCTCTGCCAATCCCTCCTCTGACCTCCATGCAGTGTCCTCCACCCCTCTCTGCCAATCCCTCCACTGGCCTCCATTCAGTGTCCTCTACCCCTCTCTGCCAATCCCTCCACTGGCTTCCCGTTGCCCAACGATAAAATTCAAAACATTAACAATAACAAATAAAGCCATTTATAACTCTTGCCCCAAATTACATCACCAATCTTGTCTCCAAATATCACCCAAACCGTCCTCTCCGCACCTCGCAAGACCTTCTACTCTCTAGCTCCCTTGTCTCCTCCTCCCATGCTCCTCTCCAGGACTTCTCCAGAGCTTCCCCCATCCTCTGGAACTCTCTAAACCAATTTATCAGACTATCGCATACTCTGCTTACTTTTAGGCGATCTCTGAAAACCTCTCTCTTCAGGGAAGCCTATCCTGCCCTCAGCTAATAATGGAATCATCTACTCTTCCAACCAGTCCATCCCCCACAGTTACTACCTTTTGTTCCACTAGCCCCTCCCTCCTAGATTGTAAGCTCCAAGGATCAGGGCCCTCCTATCCCTCTTGTATTGAACTGTATTGTTACTGTATTGTCTCCCGTTATATTGTAAAGCGCTGCGCAAACTGTTGGCGTGATATAAATCCTGTATAATAATAATAGTAGATTTGTATTATATGTTATAGGATTTGTAAAGTACATACATTTCCCTGTTTTTATTCTTTTTTGTTTGTTGTATGGACACCCCTGTGAGCTGAATCTCTTCTCTCTACAGCCCCAAATACAGTAAACTGGTTCCTGGGGAAGGCATGAGGTTGGTCGGTGACCCCGGACTGAAGGAGACCTCATCATCCAGTTTGATATCCAGTTCCCGGAGCACCTGACACCACAGAAGAAGGGTCTCCTGCGCAAAGCCCTCCTGTCCTCGCCCACCTAACAACGAAATCTTAAGATACGTATTTTTTAAATGTTTGATGTTTTCTCAGTAAACAATAAAATATTAGAGGGATGAGTGTCAGTGGATCACTCCTTCTGTTGTGGTAATCACCAGAAATATATAAACATCAACTTCATTCATAACTGAAAGAAATAAGGTTCCCTTTGTATTTAGAAGGTGAGACGTTAAAGGGTCACTCCACCCAAAAGTGAGATTTATAGAAGGAGATGCCTGGTGGGTTGAATCAGTCCCTGGCATCTGATGTGTCCACGATATTACTGCAGTGAGATCATCCAGCCATACTTCCCAAACTTGTTGCTGTCTACCTGAGAGTTCTAGCTGTTCCTGTCCACCGGAATGATGGGGAACCCCTAATCATCAGCACAGCAGGTGTGCAGACCCAAGGGATGGTGGGAAACCTTCATAATGGGTGTTCAGCAGGTGTACAAACCCGGGAACTCGGCACAGGGATGTGGGAACCCCTCATAATAGGCACAGCAGGTGTACAGACCGGGAACTCAGCACAAGGACGGTTGGGAACCCCTCATAATGGGCACAGCAAGTGTACAGACCGGGAACTTCAGTACATGGATGGTGGGAACCCCTCATAATGGGCCCAGCAGGTGTACAGACCGGAAACTCAGCACAAGGACGGTGGGAACCCCTCATAATGGGCACAGAAAGTGTACAGACCTGGGAACTCAGTAAAAGGATGGTGGGAACCCCTCATAATGGACACAGCAGGTGTACAGACCGGGAACTCAGCACAGGGATGGTGAGAACCCTCATAATGGCCACAGCAGGTGTACAGACCCAGGAACTCAGTACAAGGATGGTGGGAAACCCCTCATAATGGGCACAGCAAGTGTACAGACTGAGAACTCAGCACAGGGATGGTGGGAACCTGTCATAATGGGCAAAGCAGGTGTACAGAGCGGGAACTCAGCACAGGGATGATCTGAGCCCATCATAATGAGCACAGCAAGTGTACAGACCCGGGAACTGAGTACAAGGATGGTGGGAACCCCTCATAATGGGCACAGCAGGTGTACAGACCTGGGAACTCATCACAGGTATTGTGGGAACCCCTCATAATGGGTACAGCAGGTGTACAGACCTAGGAACTCAGCACAGGGATGGTGGGAAACCCCTCATAATGGGCACAGCAGGTGTACAGAACCAGGAACTCAGCACAGGGATGGTGGGAACCCCTCATAATGAGCACAGCAGGTGTACAGACTGGGAACTCAAAGTAGAGATGTCGCCAAGATAGTTAATTCCAGGAATCTTTTGAAGAGTTTCAGAAGCCGGGAGGCGGGGCGGGGTTTAGAGTCACAGCGGTCACATGATCGGGAAAGGTCCCGATCGAAAGAGGAGATTGGGACCTTTCCGTGATTACCGGACATGTGAGTAGGAGCGAGCAGGGCGCGGGTGGGAAGTGCTCTCGGCACATATGTCCTTTTTTTAATAGAACGCAATGTGCGGCCACTCGGCGTCTAGGCCTAGACCCCGGGAGGCCGCACATTTGCGTTCGGCCGGTGTGAAGAGGTTAAGGTTTAGGTATTGTCTCAGCTCAGGTGTGACCACCACCCCTAGATACTTAAATGAAGTAACTATCTGTATCTGCTGCACGCAAATTGGAAGGGGAAGATCTACAAGGTCTAAGGGCATTAGGACCGATTTATGCCAGTTGATTTTAAATCCTGAGAAAACGGCAAAAACGATCTGTTAGAGACATTATTATTATACAGGATTTATATAGCACCAACAGTTTGCACTTTACAATATAAGGCAGACAGTACAATTACAATACATTTCAGTACAGAAGGAATAGGAGGGCCCGGCTCGTGGAGCTCACAATCTAATCGAAGGGGGAGGTGATACAAAAGGTGATAGCTGCGGGGGATGATCTGGTGGAGGTGATTCAAGTACAGTTCTTAGGTGGAGGTGGGGTAGGCTTCCCTGAAGAAGTGAGTTTTCAAGGATCGCCTAAAGGCAGACAGGGTGGGGGATGACCGTACATGCTGTGGTAGGGAGTTCCAGAGGATGGGAGAGGCTCTGGAGAAGTCCTGGAGGCGAGCATGGGAGGAGGTGATGAGGGAGCTAGAGAGGAAGATATCTTGGGAGGAGCGGAGTGGGCGATTTGGGTGATATCTGCGGATGAGGTTGGCGATGTAGCTAGGGGCAGTGTTGTGGATGCCTTTGTAAGCTGTGGTTAGTATTTTGAATTTTATACAATGGGTTAGTGCAGGGGTAGGCAACCTGCGGCTCTCCAGCTGGTGCAGGGCTACAAGTTCCATCATGCCTCTTCAAGTCATAGCTGTAACTGTCAGTTTTGTAATGTTGCAATGCCTCATGGGAAATGTAGTACCACAACAGCTAGAGAGCCGCAGGTTGCCTACCCCTGGGTTAGTGGAAGCCAGCGAAGGGATTGGCAGAGAGGGGCAGCAGTCGAGACAACATTATCTAGGGATTTGGAGGTGTCACCCAAGTACAGAAGGGTGTCATCTGCATAAAAAGATATTTTTTCAGTAAGAGTTCCTCTATTGAATCTCACAATATCTGGGCATTTCCATACCAGTATTGCCAAAGGTTCCACCACCAGGGCAAACAGCAGGGGTGAAAGAGGACACCCCTGACTTGTCCCTCTCTGGAGCTGGAAAGAGTCTGAAAGATCCCCATTAATGCACAGATGGGCACTAGGGGTAGCATATAGGATGCATACCCATTTGATAAATTGAGGTCCGATTCCGAATCTGGCCAGCACTTCTCAGAGATACGTCCATTCCACACTGTCAAAAGCTTTGGCAACGTCTAATGACAAGATGGCCCTGCCTCCAGGGTTATCTACTGGAATTTGTGGGTTTAAAAAGAGTCTGTGAATGCTATTGGCCATCGCTCTTCAAGGAATAAATCCAGATTGATCTTTATGTATAATTCTACCAATGGCCTTTGCCAGTCTGGAGGCCAGGAGACGGGAGCAACTTAGTGTCCATATTCAGGAGGGAAATGGGTGGTAGGAGTTTGGGTGTAACTTATCCTTTCCTGATTTCAATAACATCATGGCTATGGTTTGGTTCATTGAGGGAGATAATCTACCCACTTCTGCTATGGCATGTAACATTTTAAGCAAGGCAGGGAGAAGTGTTTCTCCATACCTATTTATATATTTCAAAAGGCAGGCCATCAGATCCTGGGGATCTATTATTGGGGGCCATCACCAAAACTTCTGAGTTTTCCTCTATGGTAATGGAGGATTCCAACTCCCTCCGGCCGGCCTCCGAGAGAGTAGGGAAAGGACAGGAGTCTAAAAACTGAGTCAGCTCAGAGTGTGTGGCCATAGTTTTAGAAGCATAAAGGTCCTCATAAAAATGACGAAAAGCCTGTAATGTAGCTACATGGGCTGTACAGCCCTCACTGTTGACATCCACTACACCATCTATAGTGGACACCACCTGCTTTGATTTTGTTACATGGGCTAGGAGATGCCCCCTACTTTCACCTTCCTCAAAATATGTCTGTTGTAAAAAAAAAGTACCTAGAAGGCCTGGGCTTCCAACCAAGAATTGCGATTGGTAGGGCTCGGATCATCCTAACTTCTTTCTGCTGGAACAGTTAGATTTTTAATGGGCGAGATACATTAACTTTTCAATTTATCATCCGTTCTGTAGCTGTTTTCCAAACTTCTCCTTCAATTACTTTTGGCTCAAAGACATCACTACCAGGGGCGGACTGACAACTCATGGGGCTCCTGTGTCCTTCCCAAACTCAAAAAAACCTATGAAAAAGGTACCAGGGGCATCTCATGGGGCCCCCTACTGACCCCGGGCCCTCGGGCAGCGCCCGAGTTTCCAAATGGTCAGTCCGCCCCTGGTCACTACCAATTTTCGATTTGTGCCCATTAACTGGAAGAAAAAACAAATTGTCCAAATGACAGTTCTTCGAATAATTTTTAATCCAGCATATGACCACCATAAGGCTCCATGCACACGGGGCAACGTTAGATGTGGAAAGTCATGTTAAAAACGCGAGTTTTTCACCTTTTTTTTTTTTTTTTTTTTTAGCATTTTTGCATTAGCGTTTTGCCGCATTTAGCTGCAATTTCCACTTTAGCGTTTTTAGCGGGGGGGGGGGGGGGTTTTCTGGTCAAAAAAAAATCCCAAAACACCATTTTGCAACGTTTTTTTCAGCGTTAGAGCGTTTTTACAGCTAAAAAACTCCTGTAGAAACCCACTAGTCCTGGGGGTTTTTTTCCAGCAAAATACGTCCTAGCCAAAAAACATTGATTCCAGTCTATGTGTGTATGGACACATAGGATAACATGCTGGGGGGTTACTGGATGTAGAAAAAAACTTCAAAAGCCAAAAACAGCCGCTGTAAAAACATCAAGTGTGCACGAGGATTTATGCAGGCCATAGACGTGTCGAAAATCGGCTGGAAAAAAAATTGGCCGTTTTTTGCACCGTTTGTGGGTTAATTGGTCAGCCGTTTTTCGGGCTTTTTGCACATTTTTTTTATCGGGTATGTTGGAAAATTCGTGACCGATTTTGACTACAATGATTGGCAAATCAGCCGATCGTTTTATCGATAAAAAATCTGCGCATGAGCCGTGACCTGCAAGAAGAAGAAGAAAAAGAAGTATTCCAGTCCGCTATTATATTTGACATGAAAAAGTCTTGCGGTTGCAACAATGTATCCATTTGTATCCGAATAAAAACATCTGTATCCGAAATGGATACATTGTTGCAACTGCAAGACTTTTTCATATAAAATATAATAGCGGACTGGAATTCTTCTTCTTTCTTCTTCTTTCTTCTTTCTTCTCTCCCTGTGTGCTCCCCTGTCTCTGCAAGAGACAGAAGTAATTATGGGGTTAAATGCCGGCTATAGACGGGACGAAAATCGGACGATTTTTTTTTACCGTTAGTGGTAACGTCGGCTGATCGAACGACCAATTTTTCGTTTTTTTTTTTTTTAATTGAAAAATGGCCGGTTTTCGA